AGACGAGGTTTCACCATGTTGACCAGGATGGTCTCGATCTCTTGACCTCGTGATCCACCCGCCTCGGCCTCCCAAAGTGCTGGGATTACAGGCTTGAGCCACCGCGCCCGGCCCTACATAGTATCTTAGTATTTAAAACACATAGGAAAAAGAGTTAGTCTGATTAAGAGAAGACTAGGAAACCTCAAGCCTAGACTGTTAGGTTTGCATGACCCATTTTCCCTTCTAATCCCTTTTAAAGCAACCCAGGAGACACCAAAGAGGGACTGCATGGGACAGTTTGAGAACATAATTATCTAGAGGAATACTCAAAGTCAAAGAGAATGAACAAAGAACTGCGGGAATTCATATGGAGGCAAACCTAGAATTTTTAAGCTAGGTAGAATCCTAGTTAGGGACAGCTAGGATTTTCTATCACAATTTGAAAGTACTGAATCAGTAAGCTGATAGTATGTATTAATAAAATTAAGGCATGTACCTCAAATAGCAAACAACTTTTATCTCAATACCTATATTAGATAGTACTTCATTCAAAAGCATTTTTGCTTATTCTCATTCTTTTTTTTATTTTAAAATATATAAAATACTTATTATGTGTAGAAATTTTGGAAAATTCCATAAAGTTTTTTAAAGTTACTGGAATTTACTACTTCATTTATTTTCAACATCCTGCTATGATGCAAATCGTATCACTACTTTTAAAATAAGGAAATCCAATGAATAACAGAGTGAAAAATAATGTAGAACAAATTAGTTACTCTGTAAACCTACATAAACAAAACTTGGATTAAAAATTAGTATGAAAACCAGAGACTGAACAAATCCCTCCAAACTGGAATTTCAGGAAAAGGTCCACTGAAATGATGAGATCAGAACTAATTTTAAAGATTGGGTAGAAGAGGGATTGGAAAGTCAGGGAAAAAAGGGCAAAGGTCAGGCCTAGAAAACAAAAGTGCATAAATACCATTAGACAGCCCTGAAAACACAGGAGTAATACTAATTGCTAGCTCTGAAAATTAAAATCCAGGCAAGAGAAAAGCTCTTTTCAGGAAGGAAGGAGAAATTAGCTGGCAGAAATTATCATGGGCAAATACTTGATTAGGTAAAAGCATCTCTTTGCACTGCTACATGATCAAACTTCCTGATGGCATGAGTTACCCTAATAAACAGCTACCATTTATTAATACCAATTTTTTGACAATTTTAAACCCATGATGGAATCTGACTTATAATTTTAGCTGGGAGTTTTAATTTGCCCTCTTAATAAAAAACAACCTTATATGTGGATAAACCATCACTTTTGCCTTCTATTTTCCTTCACTTCTCCCTTCTTCTAATAGAACCTAACTAGAATTTAGATTATCAGCCAAAAGAAAGAATGGCACTGCTTTCACTCTGTGGGCACAATATCACATCTTTTTACCTCCAAAGTATTTTGCGATACTGAATTTTCAGTCTTCAAGGGCAGGATTTCCACCTCAGTGTTAAGAATAAATCTCAGTAAGTAAATATCTGAGTGGCATGATGACTTTTATATCAGTCTTACTGATCATAGGACATTACAAATTATACATAGCCTTATTTTCTTTACCTGTTTCTCAAGCCTGTTCCACTGCCACAGCCCCCACCAACCAAAGTCTGCAAAGAAGGTAAAGCTGAACGGCTTAGCTGTTGCCGACTAGGGCCCCTCCGTCCACCGGGCATGTCCAGGAACCAATCTGCTTCCAGTGCCACCTGTAGTTGCAACCCAGGTTAATGGCTGTCAACCAGTTTCAACTCTGAACAACAACAAAAACATTCAAATATCAGCAGACTACTTTTAAAGTAGGCAACAAAAAGAAGACAAAAACTGAGTGATCAGGCCTTACAAAAGCAGATTTCAAACGAATGTTCCCAATGTCTACTACCTACAGTATTCGAATTAAAGGACTTTTCAGACTAACGGTTCAAAAGCCTAAGTTCTGATTTCAGCTCTGTTCAGCTTAGGCAAGTCATAACTTATGTCTTTTGTCAACTAAATTGTATCATATGTAAGATATTATAATCAGAATTTTACAAGAAACATCACAACTTACACGTTTCCAGGTCAATGTTTCACACTTAGACTATTTGAAATGTAGAAGAATCGACACTTTACAAAACGTTAGGTTTTGTTATCAAGAGATTTGGGTTGTGAGCTCGGATGGTCACATATTATCTGACCTTATCTCAATCAGTTAACTTCTGAGTTTGTTTCTTCATGGGGCGGGGAGGAAGTGTCCCCTGATCTGTAGAGATTGTTAGGACTGAGGAAGAGGAATGAAAGGGTACCTACCATTAGGTTTTTTAACTGTTTAAAAGTAAAACTGTTCAAGTGGTATCTCTATATGTTAGGGTGAAACTATTGAAAGGAACTCTTTAAGTGGGTGCCCGCTCCAGAAAAGCTTATGTAAAATCATACAGAAATTACTGAAGCTGCAAGATTAAGAGACAAGTAAAAGATCCTCACTTTGGAGGGGAAAAAAAAGCTGTTTTCATCATTCTACGGCAAAATCATGATTCTGCCAATATAGATACCAAATGTTTCCTACACAATACAACTAAAACTCCAAGGATGACACTGGAAAAACCCTGGTTTTCAAATGTTCCCTATTCCTAAAAGCCTTCGGCTGTAAACTAACCCCAAGTGAAACAAAGTACTGAAACCGCTGGATGCAGGGGCTGCTGGTCCTTGCTCCGTTAACGAGCAAATGGAAAGAAAACTGAAGGGCATAAAACTGGGACGGAAGAGGTGAGAGTATGGGGTGGGGTAGACGGCAAGAGACCACAAACTTCAACAAACTGGTCCCTAAGATAATTCGGCAGAGAACTTGAAAAAGCAGCCTCCGCCGCACACCCAAGAGGGCCAAGACAGGTCCAAGACAGCCGGATCTTGCGGCAGCTCAGTAATACTCACGCATGGAAGTGTCCCAGCCGGTGGGGCGGGATCCCTAGGAAGCGGCGACAACTTTACAGACTGGACCCCAGGTAATGGAACTACCTCCCCGCGTGGAAACGCTCCAAACCAGCTGTTTGTACGCAGGCAGCCCCCGCCTAGAGAGTCAAGAAAAGGTGTCCAGGCTTCCGGTTGCCAGACTCAGTCCCAGACTCCGAGGCAGTTCCAGAGCCAGAGCTAAAGCTACAGCCAGAGCCTGGTCCCGTCAGCACCCATCCCCAGCGTCCATTACCGCGGAGCTGAGGAGACGTGGCAGCGCACGGCGATGACGTCAGCTCCGCGACTGCGGGCCGCCCAGCGGCGAGTGGGCCCCCGGAACTAGCCGACACTCCAACCCCTCCCGTTTGCACCTGCGCAGTGGGACTCGCCTGCTCCTCTTGACTCGCGGTCTCGCCCCTTACGGCCAGTACTGGCCAACGCATTTCCTCCCCGGTCTCAGTTGGCTCGTAGCTACGAGGCGCAGGTACTATGCTAGTGACGCTTCTTGATATCTCTGAAACTCCATGTAATAAGTTATCACCCCCATTTTACAGATGAGTGGAGATTGGGAGGTGTCACCTAGGATCACGTCATTGCTAAGTGAAGGAGCCCAAGTCGTGAAGTCATGCTTCAGCATGCAACCATGCGCTTATTGTTTAAGTAAAGGACTAGACAGAGGCTGTGGTTGCAAAGTGAATACCGCAAAAACTCAGAGTCTAGTGGAAGAGAGAAGACACCGGGAAAATATAGTAATTAATACTAAAAGTATATCCAAGGTCCAGAGATAGCATGCAAGAGTAATGAATTCTGTGGGATGGTGGTGGTGTCAATACCAAAAAAAGCTTTGCAGAGAGCTTGGGGTTTCAGCCAAAATTCCACAAATGCTTAGGGGCTTTATGGGAGAATGGCTGTCCTCCTGGAGGGGAAGTGGCAGATAAAACAGTAAAGATGTGAGCAACGTCATGATGAGTTCAGGAATTGCCAACAGTTTGATATTAGAAGTGTAAGAGTGTCTCGCCAGGCCCGGTCACTCGTGCCTGTAATCCCAGCACTTTGGGAGGCTGAGGTGGGCGGATCACGAGGTCAGGAGTTTGAGACCAGCCTGACCAACAAGGTGAAATCCCATCTCTACTAAAAATACAAAAATTAGCCAGGTGTGGTGGCAGGCGCCTGCAATCCCAGCTACTCCGGAGGCTGAGGCAGAATTGCTTGAACCAAGGAGGCGGAGAGGTTGTAGTGAGCAGAGATCACGCCACTGCACTCCAGCCTGGGTGACAGAGCAAGACTCCATCTCAGAAAAAAAAAAAAGAAGACGAAGAAGGGTAAGAGTGTCAAAAGGAGCACTTGTGTGATCTTTCACTCCGGAGATTTTAAGCTCCTTAATTGAAAGTTATTTGTATTGAATTGTGTGATTAAAAACCTTTTTTAAGAATTCTGTTGTATCAGGCACTGGACTAGTAGCTTTACACATTTCATTTAAATCTCACATTTGATATCTTCTACTATGGTTCCTATTTTACAGAGGAAACTGAAGTTAAGAGAAATTAAGTAACTTGTTGAAAATATCCTGGCTGGCAGGCAGGGTGGCTCATGACTGTAATTCCAACACTTTGGGAGGCAAAGTGAGAGAATCACTTGAGCTCAAGAGTTTGAGACCAACCTGAGCAATATAGTGGGACCTTGTCTCTACAAAACAAAATTTAAAAATCAGCTGGGCTTGGTGGCTCATGCCTGTAGTCCCAGCTACTTGGGAGGCTAAGGTGGGAGGATCACTTGAGCCCTGGAAGTCAAGTTTGCAGTGACCCAAAAGTGTGCCACTGCACTCCAGCTTGGGCAACAGAGAGAGACCCTATCTCAAAAAAAAAAAAGAAAGAAAGAAAAAGAAAAAGAAAAAAAAAAAGGAAAGAAAGAAAATAGCCTGGCTAGCTGGGTGCAGTGCCTCACGCCTGTAATCCCAGCACTTTGGGAGGCTGAGGTGGGTGGATCACTTGAGGTCAGGAGTTCAAGACCAGCCTGGCCAACATGGTGAAACCCCATCTCTATTAAAAATACAAAAATTAGCCAGCCAGTAGTGACATGTGCCTGTAATCCCAGCTACTCGAGAGGCTGAGGCAGGAGAATCACTTGAACCTGGAAGGCCAAGCTTGCAGTGAGCTGAGATTGCACCACTGCACTCCAGCCTGGGCAACAGAGCAAGACCCTGTCTTCAAAAAAAAGAAAATAAAAGAAAAAAAGTAGCCTGGCTAATAAGTGCCAGAACCAGAATTTTGAGCCAGAATGACTGATATCAAAACCAGTACAGTTAGTAATATTCCCAAATATTCCTAATGTACCACAGAGCTGTCACTTAGGAATACACACAAGTCTCCAACTTAGGATGGTTTGACTCACAATTTTTTGATTCTATGATGGTGCAAAATCAACACCCATTCAGAAGGAAATGTACTTCCAGTACTCATACAACCATTCTGGGTTTGTTTTTGTTTTTTTCATTTTTAAGTATAGTCATGTGTCCTATAATGATGTTTCAGTCAATGAAAGACTACATATATGATGGTGAGCCCATGAGAGTATACTAGAACCTAAAAATTCTTATTGCCTAGTGATGTAGCTGTCTTTATGTTGTAGTGCAATGTATCCTGGTGTACACAAACCTGTACTACCAGTTGTATACAAGCATAGCACATATGATTATGTATAGTATATCATACAAAATAATGATAATAAATTACTGTGTTATTGGTTTACGTATTTACTATACATACATGTATTGTTATTTTAGAGTGTACTTCTTCTGCTTATTTAAAAAAAATGAAAGTTAACTGTAAAACAACCTCTGGCAGGTCTTCAGAAGGTATTCCAGAAGAAGGCATTGTTATCATAGAAGATGACAGCTCCATGTATGTTACTACCCTGAAGATCTTCCAGAGGGGCAAGATGTGGAGGTAAAAGATAGTGATGTTGATGATCCAGACCCTGTGTAGGCCTGACCCAAACATACACATGTGTGTTTGCATATTAGTTTTCAACAAAATAGTTTAAAAAGTAAAAAATAAAAGAAAACATTTTAGAAATAGAAAAAAAGCTTACAAAATAAAGATAGAAAGAAAATTGGCTAGGTGCAGTGGCTCACACCTATAATCCCAGCACTTTGAGAGGCTAGGAGTTTGACAGCAGCCTGGCCAACGTGGAGAAACCCTGTCTCTACCGAAAATACAAAATTTAGACAGGTGTGGTGATGTACACCTGTAATCCCAGCTACTCAGGAGGCTGAGGCACGAGAATTACAGCAACAGCTGTAAGCTCCATTCATGATAAGTGCCCTATACAGGTGTATCATTTTTACTCTATTGCTGTACCTCTATGTTTAGATCCACCAATACTTACCATTGTGTTATAATTGCCTGTAATATCCAGTACAGTAACATGCTAACTAGGTTTGTAGCCTAGGATCAATAGGCTATTCCAAATATCCTCAGTATGCAGTAGGCTATACTACCTAGGTTTGTGTAAGTAACTCTGTGATGTTCACACAACAACAAAATTGCCTGACACATTTCTCAAAACATATTCCCATTGTTAAACAATACACTGTTGTACTGCACACCTTCCTGGAAGTAGAAAAAATTTTGATTAAAGTTTCATTTGGATTCCGGAAGAGGCCGAGGTGGGCAGATCACTTGAGTTCAGGAGTTTAAGACCAACCTGGCCAAAATGGTGAAACCCTGTCTCTACTAAAAATACAAATATTAGTCAGACGTGGTGGTACATGCCTGTAATCCCAGCTACTCAGGAGGCTGAGTCCCAGCTACTTGGGAGGCTGAGACTGGAGAATCACTTGAACCTGAGAGGCAGAGGTTGCAGTGAGCCAAGACTGTGCCACTGCATTCCAGCCTGGGCGACAGAGTGAGACTCTGTCCTCTGTCTCAAACAAACAAACAAAAAAATCAATTGGCTTTTATTAGTGACTCATGAATCAGGCACTATCCCATCTATGAAACAGAAAGGTCTTCTAATGAGCTGAGCAGAAGGGGTTGGCCTTATAGGCAGAAATGGGCTGAAGAAAGCAGAAATAAGAAACAAAGATCAGATTGGTCATTTTGAAGTTACTTTCCTTAAAAAGTATCAGAGGGGACTTCTTTATCATGCCAGCTCAGGTATGATGAAGAACCTTCTGACTGGTTGCTGCGAATCTCCTACTTGTTGGTAAACTGGCCCCTTTTAAAGTTGTTTAATTTCGTGGCATCTAGGACAAGTGCCTCCATTCTGGTTTTTTCTACTCTCTTGAGGCCTAATGCCAGAGTTCAGTCCCAAGCAACGACCTCCTGTAAACTTTATTCAACACCATTGATTCATTTTTCCTACCTCTAAGTCACCCCAACTGTTATAAATTCATATTACAAAGGGACCCATGCTATGCTAATTGCAACTTCTGGGGTCTAACTGTGCTATACACACACGCGCGCGCACACACACACACACAAACACACATACACACACGAGCGCGCGCACGCGCGCCCTCAAAGAATCTATGCCATTTGATAAGACACAATTTGACATCAAGAGAAGAATTGTCTAGTCTAGGCTCTATGCCAAGCCTTGGTTGTGCCGCTAACTGTGAAACACATCCTCTCTGACCTTAAGTTTTCTGGCTGCAGACCTATTTTCCCAGGGGTGCCAGAGAGGAAGGATAGGCAGCTGATCCATTCGTTCATTTTCCCCACCTTCCAGGCGCAGACTTCTCAGGGAAACTCCGCAAGGCTGGGGACCGGAGGAGGGGGTGGAGCAGCAGCGTGGCCATCTTTGTGCGGGGCGACCGGCCGCCCACGTGCTGCAGCTCCTGGGCCATCTTTGTGTGGGGCCACACTTCCGCCGGCGCCGCAGCGGGGAATCTGCAGTAGGTCCGCGGGCTGGCGATGGAGTGGTGGGCGAGCTCACCGCTTTGGGTCTGGCTGCTGTTCCTCCTGCACCCAGCGCAGGGCCGCCAGAAGGAGTCAGGTGGGCTCAGGGCAGGGCTGACCCTCCCCTTGGCCTCAGGGGCTGGCCGGGGTCCCGAGGCGCTTCCCCGCGCGACTGGCACCTAGGATGATGCTTGGAGCTTGGAGCTGGACAGAGGGCACCGGGGCGCCTTGCGGCGGAGAGTGAGGTTCCCGGGTCTCTGCCCCGCCCTGAACCCTGGAGAGTAACCCATCCCCCGGAATTCAGAATGACAGGGAGGATAGGGAATTCCCCGTTCACTCGCAGGAAGTGTCGCCTGTGCTTGGCTACCCTGGACCTGCCTGCAACACTGGGGGGTCGGGGATGGGGGCGAATGTCGTGCGTG